TCACCCCGGGTCCCCAAGCCTCGCCGCCTTTAGAGGTTTTGAGTTTTAACCCCCAAAAATTACCCCCGCGGGATTGGGAATTTGGGAAGTTGAAATCCCCCACATCTTCAAGTCGCCGAGGTTGAGGAACCCTGGGCTGAACCATCTGGCTTTCGTTCTCTGCATGTTTACTCAGAAGTAAATGCCAGAGTGTTCAGTGGGGCCTGCTCCAGGCACAGCAGTCCCTGGAAGAAACCTAGTCAGGATCCAAGTCTGTTGATTGTCTAATCCATGTCTAATCATGATGGAGGCTAGATGAGAAGCAAGCAGCTTTTTTTTTCTTGTCTTAATTGAAATTGAGACTCTTAAAAAGCCTGTTGTCCCCTTGATTCTCAGCAACACGGTAGGCTGAAGGAAATTTATTGAGCAATTTATTGAGCAATTTCCAAAATAATTGAGAAAAAACTGAGTTTGTTTTGCTTCTTTCCTTGCCTTGAACTGGATTTCCTCTTAATTGAAAAAAGGGAACACAATTTTCAAAGAATTCCAAACAGTTTGCTTCCCTGTGTGTTTTTGTGAGCACGAACTCCTGGAGGTTATCAGAACTTTATTTATTATCTTCGCGGAGGCCTAGTTTCTTTAGAGAAAGAAAATTGCAACAGCTCAGGGTCTTAAGGTATGGTTCTAGCCCTATTAAGCAATCAAGTAAAACTTTAATTGAGTTGTCATGAATTCTTCTAGCGAATGTATGATAGGAAAGCTGTGGTTTGGTGAGGTGTTGAGAATTTGTTCAAGGTTGCAAACTACTTTTGTAAATCTCCTAGATTTGCTTTTTTGGTTGAAGTGGCATAAAAGCCCTCATTAAATAAATAGATCCAATCCTCAGACCGTAGCATCCAAAGAACGAACCTGAGATTAATTTATATTTGTAGCAGAGGCATGCCTGAAGAATGATGTAAGAAATGCTTCTCTTTCTGCTAGCAGGACAAAAGATGACGTACAGTCTGCAGATATAGCCAGGTCCGGGGGAAGGGGATCAAAAAGTCAAGGGGGCAGTTGTGATTATATAGATGAAGCCCCATCTCTTCTCTAGGTGCATCATGCATGAGAAAAGGGATGTGGCGACCATCTTGACCTTTTTGACCCCTGGATTTCCCTTCTAGGATCCATCCCTCAATTTACATGAGAGTGATGCTCTTATACTGCTTTCTGAGTAAATATCATAGCTAGCTTTATGAGAAGTTTTCAAAGAAGAGGTTTCTCTGTAGAGAGAAGCAGAGATGGAAGCAGAGAAGATGTTGGTTCACATCTGGATGTATCCCAAAGCTTGTGCACTGCCCAGAGTCTTTTGGATTGGAACACTGCAACCATTGTAAGAAAATGGATAAATACAGTGGGTCTCCATCTAACGTAAAGGACCAAGAACCATGTTCAACCTTGAAAGACTTGGCTTTGGTCCCTGAAGTCCTTCCAGAAACATCTACAATATTGCAATGTTAAATCTGATAGGTATATTATTCAATAAATGATAAGTAAAGTTTAATTTTGGCCTGATCCTTCCTCTGGGGGAGGGGGTTGTTCCCCAGTGTGCAACTCAAAGGCTGAATGCAATCCTCAGCCTGAAAAAGTCCGGATTTAAATTCACAGGAAGAATATTTGAATCTGGTAGGGCAGGGTTCCTCAACCTTGGCAACTTTAAGACAGGTGGACTTCAACTCCCAGAATTCCCCAGCCAGCTCTTGAGGAACCCTGTTGTAGGGTATCACAGCCTCTTAAAGGAACCGGAGATTTATGGGGGCATCTACAAGGGAAGGAGGATCAAAAAGGTCAAGACAGTAGCCACGACCCCGTGATCCAAGTTCTGCCTCTTCTCATTTTTATTTTACGGAATGCACATAAAAAGGGGTGAGGTTTCATTTGCATAGTCACAGCTGCCATCTTGACTTTTTTGACCTCCTTTTGTGAACACCCCAGCAGAGGTAGCTCATGCATTCAGCTGCCAGTAATTAAGGATAGAGGAATGTTGCCCTGTTTGCCCATGGGGGAAGGCAGGGAGGGAAGGAAGGAAGGAAGGAAGGAAGGAAGGAAGGAAGGAAGGAAGGAAGGAAGGAAGGCAGTCAGTCAGTCAGTCAGTCAGTCCTAACTTTGATGTCTTTCTTCTGCAGCCCCCAGCTGAGGATGTCTTTTATCGTTTTCTCAACTAGAGGCAAAATCCTAATGGAGCTGACGGAAGATCGGTAAGTGGGGGGGGGGTTGCACTCTCCTAGGACCTTCCATGCTAGATGTTACCTTGCACACAAATGCTGACGTTACACACCAGGTAGCAAGCAGAAGCAACATATTAGGTAGGCTTGGGGACCTAATCTCTTAAGGACCACCTCTTTCAAATCCGCAAAGTGGTCCCTAGGACAGATTTGGGGCGTTGGGGAGGGAGTGGACTTTTCAGCCAGATGTTGAAAGGAGGTGATGGGGCCAATATTGCTGCTTTTTAAGAAAGTTGTACAACCGTCCTGTTTTGCCCAGGGAGGAATTTTGATTTATCAGTGGTTGTGTTTGCATTGTTACTTTGGGTTTTAAGAACAGCAACAACTACCAGGAGTAAGCCTATTGGAGAAGTCACATAGGCATCCTGGAGAAGCAGAGGCTTTGAGGCTGAGCCTGCTGTCCCGGCTGGGAGGAGCAGGAAAAAATAGGTGCAAAGCTGAATGCAAGAGAAAGAGGTGGGGGGGGGGTCCATCAGCTCTGCAACGCTGTAACCTGGTTCACACAGTGCATGAAACCATGCCTTGCTAAACCATGCTGGGTTGAATAAGCTACAGTTGCTTGGGTTTGCACCTTGTGTCTAGAAACCACATCTGGGTTTCTACAGAACTGAACTGTGCTTGGCTTTTAAATATATACTGTACCTTGGCTGCAACCAGATCTTCCTGCCCAGCAGATGTCTGTCCTTGGCTTCACCTGCTGGGGGGCACAGAGTCAGGGCCATCCATGGAGCAGGGGGAGTCAAGAAAGTCAAGATGCTCCAGCAACGCTGGAGTTGAGGCTTTACCCCTTTTTTAGGTTTAAAAAGGGGGCAGGGCTTCCATTGCCTGGTCATGATTGCCATCTTGACTTTTTTGACCTTAGCCACAACTGGTCCTTCCTGTCTCCTCAGCCCAGCTCGCATCATTCTCACAGTCTCTCAAAAGAAGGCGGACTGAATTCCTACACTTGTTAAACATGGGGCAGTAAGACATACCTGCGCTTCTCACAGAACATGCCTGCCCAAACAAATAAGCCATAAATTACCCATTTTAGCCTAGCTGAGTGTGTTATGCCAACTCCTCAAGGCAGAGTTACTGATATATCTTATGTCAGCCCTAACCAATGCCTTGGAGTGGCTAGAAATTAATCCTGATAAAGTGCACGCAATGTATTTCATTATGTAGGTGCAATGGTATGTAGTGACTATGGAGTCTGCTGTTGAATTTCTGCAGAACAAGGTTTTTTCTTGCACCATTGCAAGTTTTAATGCTTTCTTCTCTGTTTGGACAGCTTTTGCTCCCATGTTTGATTATTTCTAAGGACATCAAGTAGAAAGAGTATTGCCTCTATTGCCTTGGGAATACTGGGCCCTGTAAATTAAGCCAATACAGGTAGTCCTCACTTAACAACCATTCATTTAGTGACCGTTCAAAGTTAGAACAGTGCTGAACAAAAGCACTTACAACTGGTCTTCACACTTACAACCATCACACACCCCCATGGTCATGTGATCGTGATCCAGGCACTTGGCAACCAGCTCGCACTTACGACAGTTGCAGTGTCCCAGGGTCATGTGATCGCCATTTGTGACCTTCTCAGCTGGCTTCCGGCAAGCAAAATCAATGGGGAACTGCATGATTTGCTTAACTACCATGTGATTCGCTTAATGACCACTGTGATTCGCTTAATGACTGCTGCAAAAATGGTTGTAAAATTGGGCATGGCTTGCTTAACAACCACCCCGCTTAACAATGAATTTTCCAGTCCCTATTGTGGTCATTAAGTGAGGACTACCTGTAATTCCTCATAGCAGATCGGGAGGGGCTGCAGACACGGAGCTCATTAAGGCTGGGCTTCCAGATCTGGGTTGCGATCCTACAGGCAGCCACTAGATGGCAGGAAAGACTCTTCCGAATTCCTTTCCTGCCCTCTAGTAGTCATCTGGATTTTTGCAGCCCAGATCGAGCACTAGGTTTGGACTTGATGTCCTCAGTGGCCCAGCTCTAGGATTCTATAATTCTGGCTAAACTGAGATTTGGAGATTTCCCATCTCTTTCCCTACATAGCATTAAGGCTCAAGGTTTGCCAGCATACGACCCACACAAGGCATCTGTATTTTGGAGGGCAGTATTGTAGGAAGGGTTCCAAACAGTGCTCATTTTCCCCACTGGCACCTTCTAGTGCCTTCGAGAGCCATCCTCCTCTTGCTGTGTGCCAAAATAACAGTATCGAGAAGAAGTGGATATCAATTCCATGATGGTTTGGTGTTGCTCTAAGTCACTAGTGTGGAAGTGGCCTCTGGATCCTAGGCCGGCACGAAACGCTGTCCGTAGAGGTCTGTCACTGCTTCAGTGCTGCTCTGCCTTGTTCTATACCTCCATGGAGATCCAGGATGCCAAGGGTGAAAACCCTGCTGGAAGTCTCTGGGTGAAAGTTAAGGAGGGGGAAATGAGAGAAGAGCCTGGAACTGTAAGGATAGGGCCAGGAAACCTGAGGCCCAGAATGAGCGGAGGCTTGCAAAGCAGGCCAGAAAGAACAAAAAAAGGTTATTTGGGTATGTAGGGAGCAGGAGGAAAGTCTAACGATCCCTCTGCTGGTGGGAGGAGATGACAAGATGGTGACAGGCCACAGGGATAAGCTCGAACTGCTCGATTCCTCTTTTGCATCTGTTTTTTCACAGAAGGAAAAAGTGGCCCAGCCAGTCAGAAGGTGCCCCGTGGGGGTGGGCAGAAGAGATAAGCAGGTCAAAATAGGCAAGGAAGTGAGCAGGGAGCATCTACTTGCTTTGAATGAATTCATGTTGCTGGACTACATCCCAGGATGCTAAAGGAACTGGTAGATGGGTTCCCAGCCTCCTGGATGTAGCTTTTGACAACTCCTGGAGTACAGAAGATTGGAGAAAAGCTAATGTTGTTGCAATCTTTTTTTTTTTTTTTTTTTAAGTGGGGGGGAGTAAGTGAACCACAAAACTACAGACCAATCAGCTTGACATCAGTACCTGGGAAAATCCTGGAAAAGATCATCAAGCAGTGGGTTTGCAAGCACTTACAAAAGAACAAGGTGATTAGTAGAAACCAGCATGGGTTTGCTGAAAATGGATCATGTCAGGGAAGTAATTGTGGGTTTCTTCTGACAACGTGACTAGACAGTAGACCAAGGGAATACAGTAGATGTAGTGTACTTGGAGTTCAGTAAGGCATTTGATAAAGAAGACTACAGTCTCCTGCTTGATAGAATGGAACAATGTGCGATGGATGGTCCCACTACCAGATGGATTCTCAAGCTGTTGAATAACTGTACCCAACGCATGGGTACAGTATAATGGCGTCTGGATTTTCAGGGAAGTTCAAGAATTTTCTGGCCTGTATTTTGAAGTGAAACAACCTGATCAGCTGCTCCTAGATTAATGTGCAGATCAGAATGCAGCTATCCTGTTCATTTTGTAGCTCTGTAATGGCATATGCAGCTTAAAAAGGTACCAAGATGCATGTAACATGCTAAAACACATTTAGAAATGTGTATGTTGAAATAAAATATGTATATTATATGTATGTTGTATACGCTGCCCAGAGTCACCTTGTGTGAGATGGGTGGCTATATAAATATGATAAATAAATTAAAAATAAAATGAATATTAAAAACTCACCTAAAAATACAATGATATAAAAAAATGATTTGCCAAGAAGATCTAAATTTTTAAAAACCCACTATCCTAAGTTAAACATGCATTAGCTTAAAGTCAAGGTTTATTTTTGTGCATTATGACACAATTTTCACAAACAGCACCAGGCTTCCACATAGGACTGGTTGCTTTTAAATTCTCCATTGGAAGGTGAATTATGGCTAAGATATTTTTCATTATAATTGTAAACTGTTTCTGACAGTTATATCAAGGTTTCTTTTTCTTTTTTTCCTTTAAACCAAATGGGATAGTCACAGGAAGAGTGACAGTGAGTTCTAGTCAGGCCAGCAAAGAATATTATATTTATATATAAAGGAATCAGAATATTATTGGAAAAAGATTCTGGCATGAAAACACAAGATGGCAAGTTGGAAGTATTGGAATAAATCACTCCATATTTATCAAGGATAAATAATGCTCAAGCCTTGAGAAATCAATGCGGAGACAAGATGCGTAAATTTGGTGTCAGTCTTGCTGGGAGTAATGAGATAGCTTGCAGGAATTGATCTGGCAATAAACACGTTGAAGACTAGGACAATTTGTGATTCAGGTCCAAGTGGGCTGTTCTTTCAAGCAGGGTTGCTAAATATCTAAGTCTAAAAGGGGCATAGAGTTGACGGTCCAACAAAACTTGAGTGATATCTTCGATGGCTGGGGTGCCACATATGCATGTCCTCTCTTAATATGGCAGGGGGGGGCAGCCGCCATATTTGGCCATGGAATCCCACCACTCAAATCCTGCTCTTGAATAGGCCCTCCTTAAGAATTGTGTTAAACTCATCGACAGGTATTTTTCGAATTGGAAAGTGGTTTTGTTCTTAGCCAGCCCATTTAAAGATCGATTTTTTGCCAATAACGCCATGTCTGTCCGGGCACTGATCTCTAGGACTCTCTGTTTAAAAATGTTCTTGCCTGGGAGGCAGCTGAGAGTAAATATTGGGTAGAAAACCCGTGCTGTGAAATAACTTTGGTAAGTCGGCTTACCCAGGAGGTGGAGAGAGCCATACTTACCTGTCCAGCTAAACGTATTTTGGGTAGCCTATCTCAGGGTCCATGGAATGTATCCTCTGCCAATAAGTAAAGACTTTAATTATCGCGTGGCTGCGTATGGTATGGATACCTGTTTCTGCTCTGACCGCTGGAGCTGACCTGTTCTTGTCAGTTCCGAAGAAACTTCTTAAAAAATGGGTCTGGATTTGTTCGAGGGACATAGCTTTTGTAAGGCCCCACAATTCCTCACCATAGGTCAGCATTGGGACTAGTTTTGCCCTAAATACTTTCAATATGGGGGTCAAAGTACCTGGGTAATTA